TTGATATATTTCTGACCCAAATCTCGTTCAGCTAAGGTCCATTACTTTATTCCTTGATTTGAGGAGCTAGATTTCTTTAAAACAACGAAATTACCTCATTTGAAGTACTTGTTGTCTCCAATCAATATTCCAATTTCGGAGAAACTTGTGTTCTTGGATCAAGTTATCTCTTTACCATTCCACGTATGACATGTTTGTGTAACGGTAAATTTCGCTTCGGTTTCCTAGGTACGCGGGATGTCTTTTAAGTTTGGCATATAGAAACATAGTAGGCCACGCGGATCGAACGTCAGTACTGAATCTTAACCTCTTTAGTAAACTTAAATTCAAAGTTTCACAACAATACGTGCAGTGTTCTCACTACAGTGAATTTTTAAGTGTCCTCAAGTCATTAGAAAAATGGAACTCAACCGAGAACATTTTCGCGCCATAATTTATTACAACTTTCGGAGACAAGAATGCCTTACTGAGTTACTGTCTGTTTTCGGCAGCGAAGCGCCACATCAGTCGACAATTTCCTGTTGGTATCGAGAATTCAAAAGTGGACGGGTGAGTCTTAGCGACGATCCCAGGGTGGGTGCACCAAAAACGACAGTCACCAGAAAAACGTCGATGCTGTACGCAAACTCATCACTGAAGACAGACATGTGACATATCGCAAGATTGAGGCGTCCTTGAAGATCTCAAAGACGTCAATTCAAAAAATTTTACATGAAGAATTAGGAGTAAGAAAATTAGTTTCTCGCTGGATACTCCACCTGTTGACTGAAGAGCAGAAACCAGCCAGGGTTAATTGGTGTGAAAAAACGCTTCACCGTTTCAATTCCGGAAACTCAAAAAATGTGTACAGCATTGTTAGTGGTAATCAATCGTGGATTTACTGTTATGAACCAGAAAATAACCGACAGTCGGCTGTTTGGGTGTTCCAAGGTGAAGAAAAGCCAACAAAAGTCATCCGTTCTCAAAGTGTTTCGAAAAAGATGGACGCGACATTTGTGTCAAAAGCGGGTCATATTGCAACAATTCCTCTTAATGAGCAAAGAACTGTTACTGCGGATTGGTGTACCACCATTTGTTTGCCAAAAGTCGTCACCGAGCTTCGAAAAATCAACCCCAAAAGAAGAATCATCCTCCACCAAGACTATGCAAGCTCGCACACAGCCCAAAAAACAAGGCAGTATTTAACGGAAGAAAACGTGGAATTATTGAACCATCCTCCATATAGCCCCGATCTAAGTCCTAACGATTTCTTCACTTTCCCGAAAATTAAAAACAGACTGCGTGGTCAAAGGTTCCAGTCACCAGAAGAAGCAGTTGACGCATTCAAAAATGCCGTTTTGGATCTGCCAGCTGTTACCCTCGTGCCAGGGGGGTGGTTGTAGATGCACTTCCCTGCACGATGAATGTTACTTCTGGGGTTCGAAGTGGTTGTTGATTTGGAGGATTAGGGCGCTGGGGGAAATGAAAAGATTGCCAACTCCCAGAGCTTGCCCAAAATCTATTTATTTTTAATAAAGCACCTGAAGGGTGCTATGACAAGGTTTGCAACAAACTACCTGAAGGGTGCTATGACAAGGTTTGCAACAAACTACCCGAAGGGTGCTATGACAGGATTTTCAAGTATTCAAAATGATCACAGTAAGCTCAAAATTTCACTTTGCAATGATTAATCGATCACCTAACAACAAATGAAAACGAACATTAGTGACTTACCAAGTTTCCGGGGGTATGCATACCTCAGGATCACACCAGCTGTGAAGTTAGGATAAATAATCCATATTAAGTGAAATTAGCTGCTTAAGTATATGGATGCAGTTCGACGGGGTTTCAGCACATGGCGTCTGTGGACATTGGCAACAGCTGAATCAGCTCCCTTCCTCAGGGCGTGGAAAAGTCGTCAGGGCTTCATCTGAAGATATCAGCAGTAGTTTGGTGGAGAAAACGTAAGGTGAAGAAGACGAAAAGTTGGAAGAAGATGAAAAAGTTGGAAGAAGATGAAAAAGGCCTGAAACAAAAATCCAATATGGCGCCGGGTTCCATTTTAACGCAAGCCGAATTGCTTACCTCTGTAGGAAGGTGGCCTAAAAGTGTCGGCTACAACGCCTTAAAAGCGTCGAAGACTCCCGGTAGGATTATATGAGACATAAAAAGGAAGAACGCTTAGACTTCATTTGGTGTAAAGATCCGCAAAATGCGTGCTTCTCAACAGAGCTACGACCAAAAAGTGAAGTCTTTTCAACTTGGACACGGAACGCAAAGTTCGAGAGGAGCAATGGAGCAGTGCGTCGGCTTTCTCACAGAGTGTCCTAACCAACGTTTAGTAAATTTTACAGGAAGGCAATAAAACGAAATCAGCGTGCGGTTAATTGAGCATTGTATGAAAAGTTTAGATATTTCCGTATTGAAAATTTCACTGTATCAGCCCATATTTATTGTCGATCATATGCTGTTTCAATATTTGCGGTAGCTAATCAAGTTAATTTGGAAGAAATTGGAAAACGCACGTAGGTCACTTCGTTGAAATTTTCAGAAGCTTCCTGTCAGATAGAGCTAAAATACATTTTTATTAACGTTCTTATTATACTTTTTTAAGATATACAGGATTTATGTCATTTACTTATAAACAAAGAATCATATTTCCAGCCAAAGGGGCGATTATCTCAAAAAATCTCTTTATTGCTTAATTCTTTAAGTAATCGTTGGTCTGCTAACAGCAGAGTTTACGTAAAAAAGTTCAGATCGGCTTTTGAATTTTGGATTCCCCCGTACAAAATTTCCCTGAATGTCCATGCCTAAAACTAATTTAGACTATGACACAAATATTAGACGATGAGATGAAGAAGACATCTCGAACCCCAAAGTAATTTTTATTAAAAGAAAAGCAACTAATTTCAACATTATCTTTTTGACATATTAGCAGTTACTGTTGATGTATTATCATACACAAAACAAACAAAGGCAGAGTTGTTAATAATTCAATCCGTTTCATGGGGCAATTTTCTAAAGATGTTTTGGAATTCTGGTGAAGGTACAACGGCTGTTGGATTTTCACATAACGAAAGTAAGTCGGAGTACTTCTTTTTTGTTATCTTTACTGGTTCCTTATTAAGTTGTTCTAGTTTAATATCATTTATATTAATACTTTTTGTCGTCAGTCTTTTTAACTCAATACAGTCAACTAGAATCGTAGTAGCTAGACTTGAAAAATATTTTGGTGGGCATGTCTTTTCTTACCATAAACTCCATAATACCTGTTCATTTAATATTCTGCCCTTTCTCAGTCTGCCGTGTGGACAACACTCTTACATCTTTTGAAAGTTTCTTGAAGTCAAAAAAATTCATTGGGATTGCTAAATCGAAAAACCGGATAGAGTTGTGAGGGTTCAAAGAGATCTCCAGCTCTCCTTATTGCAGTATGAATTGCATTTTGGCCATGATTCGACCACCGAGGTGGTCATTTAGGTCTCTTCGTGTAAATTATATATTTACTTTTGTAGATAAGACACCCAGGGCTTAATGATATGTTGCCTACACTAAAAGATATATAGTTATGCCTCTTCGTCAGATTAACCGGCAAGGAATAATACACCTATATGCGGGTTATCTCAATTTTTTATATTTTGTCAGTTAGGCGACTTCGTGAGAAAGGCGACGAGTGGAACAACAGCGGACTGTTCCCGGACTGAAAGGACCGAACACTTGTCAAAATGTAACATTGAGGTTAGGAAAGAAACGTAAACAATTCTCAGATGAAGGGGCCTCAACTACAAAATGAGATCATAGGTGGAGAGTTACGTATAAACCATAGAGAAAATCTTCAAGTAGTTAAACTAGAAATATGTATTGTTTAGTGTTTACGATTATTGCAGGGTCACGGCAGTTCCTACAAGGTTTGGACATCGTTTGGGGCTGATCCCACGGACCACGATAGCACCTAGGACTTAAGATTGTGAATCTAGTCTTGGTAACCGCTCACAGTGTACAATTTTCAGCTAATAAATCTTGAATTCCGAGGTAAGAGTATGATTTCAAATTAAACCCGTAACACAGCAAACGAAAATTGGTTCGAGCGCATGCAGATGTGTATTAATCTCCGAGGAGAATACTTCGAAAAACAATAAAGTCATTTAAAACTACCTACCGTGTTGTTTTATTTCCATATGCAAAACTTAAAAGACATCCCTCGTATCGCTTCTCCTCAGTGTGCATGCACCTTTAAGCGTCCGCCTCGAACGAGGTAAGTCGTGGGTACGAAACATTTCTGTTAACCCTGTATGCTTTTGGCAGGTCTACAGGCGCGAAGCATGTCCCTTTTTCCTTTTACTAAACAGCAGTAGATGTTTCATCGCTGCCTCGACGACAATGTTGCAGCAACCTTATTTCCAGCTAACAGACAGATGAAATGAAAATAGAAGAGGCGTTACATGAATGCCAAGGATACCGGGACCAAAACATCCTCTGTCAACGGAACCGGGGCAAAACGAGAACGTCGCAAATCGAAACGTAATTAACTAAATAAGTAAAAAACAGGGGACAGCCACGCCAGGAATTGCGGCATTCGCATCGGTAAGCAATTCGTTGCCGTCGGTGATTGTCCTGTAGTCCAGTAATTAGAGACGAAAACGTTGATTTTGCATTTTGTCGCTGTTTTTGTGAATTCTTCGGAACATTTCAAATATAACTGTATACGTTTATAATATTGCTCGGAAACAGCATGAAACATCCTATAATATGACAATAACTGTAGATCAATATCTTTAGTAATTATGGAAATATACTGAGTGACAACAAAGGTGTGTTTATTAGCCCTTTCAATCCGGATTTGTTTTTTTAACATTACTGTTTTAAAATGTTGTACACCTATGTAAAAATAAACTAAAAAGAGGTTATTTGGTGAAATAAATTTTTATTTCAAACAGGTTTTTATAAAAATAATGGGTTTTGTTGGCGGGACACATTTGTCCCAAAGGTTACGTAATTCAGGTATGGTATGGCGTAAATCAATCTACGCATAATGGAAAATCACACATCCTGGACAAGAGTTTGGTTCTCTTTTCAATTTTTTCTTCGAGAGAAGCGACAGCACCTTCTTCTTGTCTTGTCTTAGATAAATGATCACCAACATTACTTAGATCCGTGCATGGTTGTGAATGTCGGCCAACTTTTCTGGTCCTTTTACGTTTCACACCTTTTCTACCATGAGCAATCAGTAACTGTTTTACGACGTATTGGATGAAGGTAGTATTTTTTTGATGTGTTTCTCTGAATAGTATAAAAGAATTATGAACCGCCATCATAAGAGATTTATAATAGACTTTTCGCCACCACTTCGCAAATTTTCTGTTGATATCATATAGAGAAACCATTTGATCGGCATGGTCCACGCCGCCCATATACTTATTGTAAAACTCTATAGCTTCAGGGCACGGAACTTCTGAACTTGGTCCGTCTTTCATTTTTCTTCTAACTTTAGTTATTGTAGCTTTATGACAATTAAGTAAAACAAAGTCTTTAGTATCTTGCCATCTAATAGCTAAAGTTCCCTGATTACTATACTAAGTGACATATAAATCCGAACACCCAGTTTAAATGGTTTTATCTTAATAAAAGTTGGTGAATGTATTTATCTTAAAAATTTTCAGCCTTATCAGTTGGACATTCCAGTTTTTATACTGCTTTTTTTAATTCACTAACGCTCTAAAAATGAATATTTCAGCAGCAGTAAAGAATCAACGTTGGCGGATTTTGGTTCTTGACATCCTTTACGATCGGTTACGATGCCTAGAGTACGGAGACTTGTACGATTTCGTCAACTTAGTGAGTTTGATAGGGGCCGTATAGTGGAACTTCGGGAAGCTTGACTTTCTTTTCGGGCAATTGCAGTTAGAGTGCAAAGAAGTGTAGACACTGTGGTTAGTTGTTGTCAGGCATGGCTGCGAGAAGGCCGTACGCAAAGAGCAAGGGGCACTGGACGCCGCCGTAGAACAACAGACCGTGAAGATCGCCGCCTAAGATTATTGGCCTTAAGGGACCGTTTCTCCACTACCAGGTCCATTGCAAATGAATGGTTTGAAGAACACGGAAGACCTATTGGCATGCGAAGTGTTTACCGACGAATGAGAAGTTTTGGCTTGTTTTCATACCGGCCACACTGGGTCCTCCCTTTAACTCGAGAACACCGACATAATAGCCTTGAGTGGTGCAGACAACGGTCACTCTGGGATCAGGAATGGAACAGTATTGTCTTTAGTGACGAGTCTCGATTTTGTTTAGGCATGCACGATGGTCGTGCCAGGGTTAGAAGGCGACGTGGTGAAAGGAGGAATCCACAGTTTTTTGTTGAAAGACATGTTCATCACACTGTTGGAGTTATGGTTTGGGGTGCTATAGCTTATGGTTCCAGGTCACCTTTAATCTTCATCAGAGGTAACATGAACGCGCAGCGTTATATCCACGAAGTTCTAGAACCCCATCTTTTACCCTATCTTGACACCCTGGCATATCCAACTTTCCAACAAGATAATGCCCGACCACATGTTGCAAGAGTCACAATAGACTTCTTTCAACATGATGATGTCACATTGTTACCATGGCCACCAAGATCTCCCGACTTATCCCCAATTGAGTACGTGTGGGATATGATGGGTAGGAGATTGCTTAATTTGCAACGTCCTCCTCAGACTCTAGAAGCAGTTCGAGAGGAGTTGGTGGTTGCCTGGAATGAGATACCACAGGAGGCCATTGACCACCTGATCAGAAGCGTGCCTAGGCGCGTTGGAGAATGCGTAGCACATCAGGGTGCATCCACACATTATGAAAGGTCAAAGGGCTTTAAAGCAGTGCAATCATTTTGAAATTTTTATCATTTACTTATTATGCGTCATTAAGTACTTATACAAAATTTTATTAAAATAAAACCATTTAAACTGGGTGTTCGGATTTATATGTCACTTAGTATATAACGTAACTGGTTCAGTTAATAATAAGCCACGATATGTAAAAAAAAGTAATATCACAAATGCCGACCGAAGAGCATTAAGAAGAATAATCGTGAAAAACAGGCGTGTCAATTATTTACAATTAAGTGCTCTGTGGAGTGGCGCTGTTGGAAGGAGAATTTCGAGGTCCACAACTCATAGAGAGGCCCACAAACTGGGATTTAGCACTTGCAAGGTAAGTTTTCTTATAAAAAAAGTGAAGTAAAAACCCTAAAGTTGCACAACTTGTTTATAGGCCAAAGAAAAGCCACTATTAACTCCACTGCAAAAGAAAAATCGGCTTAGATGGGCTAAAGAACATAGACAATGGACACCTCAACAATGGTGTGCAATACAATGGAGTGATGAGGCCCGATTCGAAGTTTGTGTTGGTGACAGTCGCAGTAGACTTATTCGCAAAAAAATGAAGCATTCCACGTTGACTGTCTGAAGAGAAAAGTGAAATTTCCAGCATCCATTATGGTCTGGGGCAGAATGTCGTCAAAAGGAGTAGAAAAACTTCATTTTATTGATGGAAATGTGGATACAAACAAATATTTGGCAATTTTAGAAGAATCGCTTTTACCAGTGATGGAAGAATGTTTGACATCCGGCCAAGATTTTGTGTTTCAGCAAGATGGTGCAGCGTACCATATCTCAAAAAAGGCTATAAAATGGATGGAAGAAAATAATGTACCACTTTTGAAATGGGTTACTAGCAGTCCAGATCTGTCACCTATTGAAACTTTGTGGCACGAGATGAAAAAGGTCCTACGACAACATCCTGCTCGTTAAATCACCGAACTGAGACAAAATATGGGATTGTTTTACACCAAATTTTGGCCAAAACTTGGTTAACACTATGCCCCAAAGAATTTCAGCTGTAATAAAAAATAAAGGTGATGTTACCCAATGGTAATCTTTCAATTGTTGCTTTGTTAACTTCGCGAATTTATTCGCACATTGTTTATTTCTTCAGATGTTCTATTAGTTATAGGTCAAATATGTATCTTTTACGACCAGAGTGTGTATAAAACGTGTTTGAGAAAATAAATTGTTTTAGAAGTAAATAGTTTCGTCATGTTTAGTTTATAAAGGCATATTTTGGTACAAATCTTGAAGTGGGCCAACTGAAGTGGGAAGGGGCTCGTAGATTAGAAATTTTCAAGCGCTACACGATAAAAATAAAAATTCATGGCTATCGGTTAAGCCGTCGCTGAGATATACCTGGCGTCCTTTATTGATGGGTCACCCGGTACAGGACAGTTGGTTATTTTCAAACTACACATCTTTGTCACTCTCGATTGTAGAAATGCACGCATAAGATAAACACATTGAAAAATGCATGGATCCAATACACGGACCTTATCTGACTCCATGCCAGAACAGATTACGAAATGTCAGCTTTTTCTGGGCATTTCATTAGCAGCTTGATAAAGACCCCAAAGCCCTATTTACGTCTATCTCTCGCCGCTTAACGGAAACAAGGCGACCCAAAAAATGAAAAATGGCTAACGATTAACAGCTAACGAGGGATTTCGTGTACGCATATATATGTCTAGTGACAGTACAAAAGCACCGAGGATGATACCAGCCAGTCGGGCTTAGGCAGAAGATCGTTAAAAACTTCCACGGGGTCGTTTATAACCTTAATTGCGTCGGGTTGCGATGGGCTTACCTGGGGATGGATTCAAACTCAGCCAAGGCATGAGGCATAAATACTTGGGATGGAGCTATATGCTGTTTACCTGTCACATGTATGGTTTGAGCCTAATCCTAAAGGTAACATGGATTAGAGAGAATAGCATGTTAAACTGGATTACATTAGATTGCGTGTCTTCGGTATGGTTGGGTAGAAAAACCCTAGACTGTCCTGCAACGGTGTTTTCAACAATTGAGTCGGTCTTTTCAAAAAATTCTTATATCATGAAATTTGACAAACAATAGCGACCACAAAACACAACAGAAAAACCTTCTAATTTAACACATTGTGTATCAATTTGGGTGAAATTGCCACACATGTAGGCACATACTGTGCGTGGCGTTCCTTCAACTGGACCAAAACTAAACTTGAGGGTTTTAAAACACAACATTACGAGCAATTTATTTATACGTATTACATACATATTACATCTAAGGTGGGATAACCATATTAAATATATTGACAAAAAAATTAGAAATGTTGCCTATAAACTCAAAATGCTTGCTAACATTCTTACAGAAAATTATCTGCGAATCCTACACCATGCCTTAGTTGAAACCCATATAATATACGGCATCACAGCCTGGGGTGCAGCCTGCAAGACATATATTTCTGACCTGAATATAGCACAAAGAACTGTTTTTAAAGCCATTTTCCATAAGCCAAGATTATATCCAACGAACAACCTATATCAAGAAACAGGGATACTTGATACAAGACAACTTTATTTCTTACATGCCACCACCTTATACCATAAGTATTGTAATAAAAAGAAAAATTCAAATAAACACGACCATAACACACGATTTCGAATAGGCTCATCTAATATCCAAAGACCACACAAAACATTATTCAAAAAATCATTTAAATTCTTAGCAGCTAAATTATATAATGTAGTACCAAACGAAATAAAGATACTTAATTTCGGAAAAAAATTTAGAAGAAAATTGAAAGACTGGGTTAGTAATGTGCAGCGAATGACTATACATAATTATATAGAAAACTAAAACTACAAAATTCCGATTACATTAATACCGTTTAGATTTAACAATAATTGTTATACACATATATGATTGATTGTTAGTTATTAAGACATAAACCACACACAGGCGATGCCTTCTGTGGTTTTTTCATATTTATTTGCCCATTTTTTGTATTTTGGCGAATAAATATTATTATTATTATTATTATTATTAATTCAAATTTGCCACTAAGATTTAAAGACTCAACAAAATTAGGGAATGATCTATCTAGAATCATTTTTCGACCATATCACAAACAGCCAGAGGTAAATGAAATCTACAACTAATAGGATATCAGAAGAGTTTCATCCAGATGACATTCACAGAGCAACGAATCTTGTTCATGAAGTGAGAAATGCTCTTCATGAATTCCGTAATGAGCAATTTCGCGACTTTATGTCGGGGATGCTTGACTCAAGTATTCCTCTCTGGAAAGTTGCAAAGTCGCTCAGAAACGGAAAGCGAGAACAACTCCCGCACATCCACGGTCCTAGGGACATAGTCTGTAGGACACAGGAAAAGGTCGAGGTTTTCGCTGATGCAATGGAAATTCAGTTCTCTCCCAACTATGACCTTGATAATGACCTGGACGAGGATCAACATATTGTGAGATCCGTCAGGAGATATTTTAGGGCCAACGGCGTCAGTGGCAGTAGTGCCTCCCTTAGTGATTTTTCCTCAGAGGAATCTCCAGAAGATTCCTCAACTGAAGAGCTGCATGGCACATCAGCGGAATCTCCTAAGACTCCGCATTG